CACTCCAGTGATCCTCCCTTCTTAGCCTTCCATGGTGCCTGACACACCATGCCCAGCCCTTTCTTCAAGTGTTGGCAAAAGATGAAGTTTGTTGGACTGACGGGACACGCACACACACACACAAACACACATACTTGGATTGCGAAGCATGTACGCTTTTCACCACACCTTCTAAAACGAAGTGCTTTTGACTCAACTCGTGCTATGGTTTCAGTGTGCACACCTCCCCAAATTCAGGTGTTGAAATTTAACGGCCGATGTGATAGGAGTAAGAGGTGGGGCCTTTAAGAGATGATTAGGTCATGAGGGTTCCTCCCTCATGAATGAGATTAAAGCCTTTATAAAGAAGGCTTCAGGAAGCCTCCAGCTTGCTTGTCCTTCCACCCGCTGCCCTGTCGGGACCTGGTGTTCCTCCCCTCCAGAGGATGCAGCAACGACGCACCATCTTCGAAGCAGACAGCAGCCTTTGTCACATGACCTGCCAGCACCTTGATCTTGGACTCCCAGCCTTCATAACTGTATGAAAACAAATTTCTGTTCTTTACAAGTTACTTAGTCTCGGGTATTTTGTTATAGCAGCACAAACCAAGACAGCTGGCAAGTAATAGCTTTTTTCAAAAACTTACTACAGTCCACAGAGCAACTAAGGAACTAACAACAGATAAATATCTACTCTCACATTTACAGTAGGATGCATATAAGTGACCCAGTAGGGAAAAACCATCTATGTTGAAATCAGTTTGGGAAACACTGGGCTATGTAACTGTAAATAGTTTATTTACCATATAAGTCTTATCGGAACTCTGAATATACTTTCATATGCTGTGAATATCTACAAGGCAAATGTAGCAAGCAGTGTTCCCAAGTGCATTTGACTGTAGAGATCCCTCCCACACACACCACCACCTTCATGGTGCACTCATGCGAGCAGCATTGGATGACGTACTTGGGAAAACACTGGTCTGAGTCTGGGCACAGTGGCTCATGTCGGTAATCTCAGCACTTTGGAAGGCCAAGGCAGGAGGTTCACTTGAGGCCAGGAGTTTGAGACCAGCTTGGGCAATAAGACTCCATGTCTACAAATAAAAATAATAATAATTAGCCAAATGTGATGGCCTGCACCTGTAGTCCTAGCTACCTGAGAGGCTGAGTCAGGAGGATCCCTGGAGCCCAGGTGGTCAAGGCTGCAGTGAGCTGGTATTGCATCACTTTACTTCAGCCTGGGTGAAGCAAGGTCTTGTTTCTGAAAAGGGAAAAAAGTATCTTCTGAAGGGTACACCTCAGAGTAAAATAAAATTTAAAAACTGGCTTAAACATACACTGCAATTCCAAAAAGACTAACACAGTTCTTCCATATTTCACTGTTTAGAAGAGATTGCAAAAAGTTCCTTATGACAGAGTTTTGCAAATGAGACCTCAACACCTGTCATATGGAGAGAGAAAACAGGTTTTCATGCTCTGACGATTCTGTGCTTTATCAAGGTAGGTCTATCTAAGTGAAAACCTGAAGCAAATAAAACAAGCCACGATGTATTCATCAGGGGAAATTAGCCACTCAGTGAATACTCAATTTTCTTGGGGAGTGATGGTGATTAGGAAGCTGTGAAAACACCTGCTAAAATTGTTTCTGGAAAAACCCTCACATTTTCGGCTTCCTTGGAAAGCTGAGATTCGTTTTCTGAGCACAGTCTTGTTACACGTTTACCATCCTATCAAGAGTACCTGGTCCACGCGTCAGGAGCAGTGGATCAAAGCCCTTGCCCACCTTGCACTTTCTGCAAATACTGAGCTCCCTGATTTAAGAGCAAGATGAAAGGAGCCACAGGAGCCAGAAAGGACTGAGGCAGTGTCACCACAACACAGATTCTCTCTCCAAGGTCTTTGGTTAACTTTTGGAAAAGCAATGAAGTTCCTTCTTTCTGTCCCCAGTCTGCCCATACACGTCTACACTCATTTTGGCTATGGGGTTTTTGAACTTCTTCCTGGGCCAGTAGCTTCATTGTCTTATCTTTCATCAGTAAGCACCATTTCTTACAGAAAGTCTTAGGTCTTTCACATTCACATGATTAACTTTACCAGTTTTAGCAGGGCTTGGTGGCATGTGCCGTAGTCCCAGCTACTTGGGAGGTTGAGGCAGGAGAATCATTTGAGCCCAGGGGTTCAAGTCTTTAGAGCATTATTATTGTACCTGTGAATAGCCACTGCACTTCAGCCTGGGCAACATAGCAAGACCCTATCTCTTTTTAAAAAACGCATTTATTTGAGCTAGCTGCAAAAGGTTTTTATTATCTTTTAAGTTCTGGGGTACATGTGCAGAACATGCAGGTTTGTTTACATGTGCCATGGTGGTTTGCTGCACCCATCAGCCCATCATCTACATTATGTATTTCTCCTAATGCTATCCCTCTCCTAGCCCCTCACCCCACAACAGGACCCAATGTATGATATTCCCCTGCCTATGTCCATGTGTTCTCATTGTTCAACTCCCACTTATGAGTGAGAACATGCAGTGTTTGGTTTTCTATTCTTGTGTTAGTTTGCTGAGGATGATGATTTTCAGCTTCATCCATGTCCCTGCAAAGAACATGACTTCATCTTTTTTATGGCTGGGTAGTATTCCATGGTGTATATGTGGCACATTTATCCAGTCTTTCACTGATGGGCATTTGGGTTGGTTCCATGTCAGCATTCACTATTCACTGTTCACAATAGTGCCACAATAAACATACGTGTGCATGTGTCTTTATAGTAGAATGATTTATAATCCTTTGGGTATATACCCAGTGATGGGATTGCTGAGTCAAATGGTATTTCTGGTTCTAGATCCTTGAGGAATCACCACGCTGTCTTCCACAATAGTTGAACTAATTTACACTCCCGTCAACAGTATAAAAGCATTCCTATTTCTCCACATCCTCTCCAGCATCTGTTGTTTCCTGACTTTTTAATGATTGCCATTCTAACTGGGGTGAGATGGTATCTCACTGTGGTTTTGATTTGCATTTCTCTAATGACCAGTGATAACGAACTTTTTTTCGTATGTTTGTTGGCTGCATAAATGTCTGGGAGAAGTGCCTGTTCATATCCTTCACCCGCTTTTTGATAAGGTGTGTTTTTCTTGTAAATTTAAGTTCTTTGTAGATTCTGGATATTAGCCCTTTGTCAGATGGATAGAAAACATAATTTTCTCCCATTCTGTAGGTTGCCTGTTCACTCTGATGATAGTTTCTTTTGCTGTGCAGAAGCTCTTTAGTTTAATTAGATCCCATTTATCAATTTTGGCTTTCGTTGCCATTGCTTTTGGTGTTTTAGTCATGAAATCTTTGCCCATGCCTATGTCCTGAATGGTATTGCCTAGGTTTTCTTCTAGGGGTTTTATGGTTTTGGGTCTTACATTTAAGTCTTTAGTCCATCTTGAGTTAATTTTTGTATAAGGGGTAAGGAAGGGGTTCAATTTCAGTTTTCTGCATATGGCTAGCCAGTTTTTCCAACACAATTTATTAAGTAGGGAATCCTTTCCCCATTAGTTTTGTAAGGTTTGTCAAAGACAAACATATGTGTCAAGCACACATATGTTTACTGCAGCACTATTCACAGTAGCGAAGACTTGGAACCAACCCAAATGTCCATCAATGTTAGACTGGATAAAGAAATTGTGGCACATATATACCATGGAATAACTATGCAGCCATGAAAAAGAATGAGTTCATGTCCTTTGGAGGGATATGAATGAAGCTGGAAACCGTCATTCTCAGCAAAGTGACTGAGGAACAGAAAACCAAACACCTCATGTCCTCCCTCATAAGTGGGAGTTGAACAGTGAGAACATATGGGCACAGGGAGGGGAACATCACACACAGGGGCCTGTCGGGATGGGGGGCTAGGGGAGGGATAGCATTAGGATAAATACTTAATGTAGATGATGGGCTGATGGGTGCAGCAAACCACCATGGCACGTGTATACCTATGTAACAAATCTGCACGTTCTGCACATGTACCCCAGAACTTAAAATATAGTAAAAAAATTTAATCTTTTCCCAGACCTTCTCTTATTTCTGCTTTTTTCACCTATTTCTATAATTCATTGATTATTCTTTTGTTCATTGTTTTACTTTTAAAATGCAAATACTTCTGCCTTTGGTAATGTTATACGCTTACCCTCATCTAACAATTTTCTCCATTTTTCAATTTTTTGCTAATACATTTGGGGAGTATTCTAATACTCATTTCAGGTTTTTATCTACAATAGATAAAACACCTCAATATCTGAAGGCCTACATCCTGCAAATATGGCATGTGAGAAATTTTAGAATATATCATGTCTTTTTTTTTTTTTTTTTTTTTTGAGGGGGTCTTGCTCTATTGCCCAAGCTGAAGTACAGTGGCACAGTCATAGCTCACTGCAGCCTCCACCTCCTGGGCTTAAGCAATCCTCTCACCTCCATCTCTCAAATAGCTGGGACCACAGGTGTGTGCCACCATGCATGGCTAATTTTTATTTTTTGTAGAGACAGGGTCTCACTAGTTATCCAGGCTGGTCTCAGATTCCTGAGTTCAAGCGATCCACCCACCTTGGCCTCCCAAAGTGCTGGGATTACAGGCATAAACCACCACATCCAGCCCATGTCTATGTTAAGTTGATTATATACAAAGCAGTTTAATGGGTCAATTAAGAGCCCAACCTTTGCATCAGCCTGTCTGGGTACAAAGACCTTGTTAGCTATAATTCTGGACAAGTAACCAATCTTTCATTTTCCCCATACATAAACTGGAGAAAAAAAATTCTACCAGTCTCATTTGGTTACTAATAAGCATTAATAAGAATTATTAATTATAAATAAGTATTAATAAGAATTAACATGTCTAAAAGGCTTATAATAGAACCTAGAGCATAGTAAGTGCCATATAATTATTGGCTATTAGTATTTCAATGGTTACATTAACAAAAGTATCTTAGAATAAAGTGTGGAGAAATTTTAAGTACTTTTTGTCTTTTAAAGGTCCAGACTACATAAAGGATTATTTACCCAAAATTCATCAGCACACCTGCTATGTAGGAGAACAGCATCCGGCGTTAGAAAAAACTGGAGATCTCAGATATTTATGGAGGCCTGCCTCAAATAGAAGCTTGCCAGCAAAATATAAACATGAGTACGTTGGTGAAATTGGTTGGGGAGTACCACAGTATAATTTTATCAACAAATCAAGACTGGAGAGTGGCTTCCATATCAAGGTATTGCTCTTAAATTTATGCTTTTCATAGTGTGCTGTTTTCTAACTTGAATTCTTTATGAATTTGCTTCTAAAGGAAATGTCGGGTGCTTGATTTCTCATTGAGACATAAAGAGGTTTGAGTTTTGCAGAAAGACATGTGTGAATAAATGCATGTGCTCCACTCCTGGAGCCCGTTTAATACACCAGGGGAAGGGTATGAGGAAAACGAAGCCATGGATAATGCAAAAGCGTTTGTGTTTGGCTTTGGCATGCATTCTGATTCACATTCAGGCTGAGGCACTGGCACACACTCTTCCCCCATCCTAGCACTGCTTCATGCGTGGGTGGTGCAAAGAAAGAAGCCTGTGCTGGGCATAATCCACAAACCTAACACATGCGTCTCAGATCTTTAAGATTCACTGTACTGATAATGCCTTCGTATCCAGTATTAATAATTCAGGGTATGTTGTCAGAGGGTTTTAGAAACCTTGTCTTATTTCCTTTTGGTTATGTAGACATAGGCATGCGATCATGGTGTCTCCTCTGAAACAGAAGAGTGCACAAGTGGTTTTAGAAGTAAAATCTGAGAATCGGGATATTTTTTTCCAGGCAGGCCTGTGCATTGTTTGAAAATTGAATGTATCAATCATGCAATAACTGTATTTCCTCAAATTCTTAAGTTTCATCTGGTAAAAGTTAACAAAAGGAAAAACCATTTATTATTTTTTAATTTTTTTTTTTGAATCAGGGTCTCACTCTGTCGCCTAGGCTGGAGTGCAGTGGCATGATCTTGACTCACTGTAACCCCCACCTCCGGGGTTCAAACGATTCTCCTGCCTCAGCCTCCCAAGTAGCTGGGACTAAAGGCACATGCCATTACACTCAGCTAATTTTTGTATTTTTAGTAGAGATGGGTTTTTGCCATGTTGGCCAGGCTGGTTTTGAACTCCTGATCTCAGGTGATCCATCTGCATCGGCCTCCCAAAGTGCTGGGGTTATAGGCGTGAGCCACCACACCCGGCCAGAAAAACCTTTTTCTGGCCCAAACTGTGGCAGTTCAGGAGGGTGGATGGGAGCACAGTCTTTGAGGTTACACTCTGATTTAGATCTAGCTCTGTGACCTTGGGCAAATCAGTTCACCTCTCTGCATCTTTGTTTGTGCCTCTTCTACATGGCAGTATTCAGAGGCCCACTTCACAGGATCATCTAAATTTCTATCCTAGTTCTGCCACCTACTAGCTGTGTGTGGCCTTGGTTAAGTTCATTTGCCTCTGTGCGTCAGTGTCTTCATTATGAAATCTTAGTTCTAGAATATTTTTTTCTAGGCAGGCCTTTGCATTGTCTTTGCTCAGATAATGGGCTGTTGTAAACAGTGTATAAATGAATATTAGGAAAGCACTAGAAGCAGTAACTAGCATCTATCAAGCCCTATATGCGCTTCATATTGTTATGTTGTGAGGACTAAATATGAGAACCCAACGAATGCACTGGGCGCGATCCTGGCACCAGGCTGACATCCAGATTTTAGCTATTAGTACTGTTGTGATTGTATTTCATGTAATTCATTAAATTTAGTATAATATTTAATGTAATATGTTTAAATGCCAGGGCCAAGAAAATGCACTGATAAGCAATGTCTCTTATAGTATATTCCAAAGGAGACCAGATTCTGAGTGTGTGACAAGCCGAGTGTAATGAATGCTTAGGTTCTTAAACTGTGTCCTATTCCACTAGGCAATAAAAATGAAAATCCAAAATTTGATTAAATATCAAACTAGCCACGAGCAAGAAGAGTCCAGCCCCAAAGCAAGGCAGCTGGTTTGAATAAAGTCCAGAAATTTTGTTGTCTTGGTGTTTCTCCTTGGGTGATGATGCCCTGCTCTCAGACACAGCCCTCAATCTGTCAGACCATCTTGAGTGTGTATAGCCTCTCTTCCTTCTTTATCTTTAACTGAAGAACCCATTTTTCTGCTCAAATGAACTGCAATCAAGCATTCCTTGGTCTTCAAAGCAAGCTGGGAATCCAAAAGAGATAATAGCCACGAGTTAGCCTTCCAGGAATGTATTTATTCTGTATCTTTAGTTAGTATTTCATGGATTGCTTTTAATCACTGCCCTGCTGGGTAATGGGGTCCTCTTTGTCTCTGAGATTGTGAGCCACACAGTGATTTTCTTCCCCAGCTGTGGCATGCTCAGAAACTGCTTGGAATATACTATAAGGGATGTTGCTTGTCATCTGTGTACTTTCTTAGCCCCGGTATTTTAATAGTAATTGTTTTCAAGGGTCTAGCTGTCTCAGATAACAATCTTGAACAATACCTTAAAGCTCCTTGGACTTAGAGCTTTATAATAGGGGGGAAAAAGACTCACTGAGAATGACCACACATACCAGCATTGAAATTGAAGCATCTATAATTTCCTTAACAGTTAAGATCTAGGTCTTGTCACTGGGTCTACTCATCTCCCCCTCTGCATCTAAGGCATACCTCTCTCTTTCCATCCAAGGCAGATCAAAATCTTTTTTTTTTTTTTTTTTTTTTTTTTTTTTTTTTTTTTTTGAGACAAGGTCTCACTGTGTCACCCAAGCTGGAGTACAGTGGCATGCTCCCCCTCACTGCAGCCTCCATCTCCTGGGCTCACACAGTCCTCCTACCTCAGCCTTCTGAGTAGCTGAGACTACAGGCACATGCCACCACACCCAGATAATTAACTTTTTTCTTTTTAGTAGAGACAAGGTTTATGTTGCCCGGGCTGGTCTCAAACTCCTGAGCTCAAGTGATCCTCTTGCCTCGGCCTCCCAGTGTGCTGGGATTACAGGTGTGAGCCACCGTGCCCAGCTCACAGTATCATTTTTGGAGTGTAGACTCAGACTTTGATTCCTTATTGACCCTGGGCTTCAGGCAGCTACTTCTAAAAAACCAGACGTGGTGCATGAATTGACACTTGAGCCGATACATACACAGACACTCCATGCATTCAAACATACTCCTAATTACAAAGACTATACAAGAGTGGTGGCATTAACCCAGGGCCCTCCTCACAAGGGAACTAGTAAAGCTCTCAGTGTAGTGTCACTTTGAGAAATGCCCCAATCCACTTCCTATTCATTCTCCACTTTATCTGTCTATAGACCCTTTCCATATCTCTTGCTTTTCCTTGTCCCATAATAATCCAAATCAAAATGGTCACTTCCTGTTTTAGTCTAACTGCAGAGACTCCTCAGTGTCTCTCATGGCAATTGCTCAGAGCTTGGATTTTAAGCAAAACTTTCATCTCCTGGATTTTTATAGCTCTAACAGCTGCTCTGCCTAATTTACTGCTCCAGGTTTATATAAGACTGGTGGTTAAGGACGCTCAGGCACCTCCAATAGAGTCTTGGTAAAATGCCTGGAGCCGCTGCCTCCTACCGGGGAATGGTCTCTCCTATTTGGGGCACTGGGAGGGGTTCTGCAGATCATCTGGCTTTTTGCAGGAAGATAATAACTTCCATGCTGAGTGACACCTGAAAAGCTTCCCCCACGTTGTGGAGGTCACAGTAAAAATCGCAAGATTGAGTTTCTCTTCTGGATTTTTTAATGTTTAGTTATTTCCTACTGACTTTTACATGGGTTACTATGCAATAATCATAAATGTATGTATAAACAAGGACAGACCATTACTTTTATCATCTCGGATTTAAGAGCAGCACATTCTTTAAAAAAATGGATTTGTTCTCTATCAAACTATATATGTTCTTTCTGCAAGAATATATGGAGACAATTGAAACAGTTTATTTGGTTTCAATCTCATGCTAAACTGAGGAACTTCTCTAACTGCTGCTTAGTTGGTTGTGTCTCCTCTCCACTGGCCTTTCTTTAACCCCAACCTCAATGGAGTCTGCTGGCTTCCTAATGTCCATTTTCTGCACCTGTGCTCTGACCTTGTGACAAAATGATTTAAGTCATTTGGTTTTCTCACAGAAACAATGTTACACTGGACGTGATGACTAACTTTTCACGGGTGTGATCCCAAAGAAAATATTAAATCAATTAATCATATAACCAATATATTACGTATTTTTAAAAAACTATATGAGGTAATAAGGAGAATCATGGGAACTCACCAACATATTTATATGTAATATGAGGTAACAAAAAACAAAATTTTGAGGCTTTGAAATCTCTGCCTCGTTTTTAACTGTCACAAGTTCCGCTGTCATGAAATAGAGCTTCTTTGTGACAGTTTTATGGACATTTGAACAGCCTTCTGATGAAATGTTGAATTTCTTGATGGCTATGGAATAAACTGATATGAAGTTGGTTTATTAGACATTTTGCTCACTGTGAATTTATTTATAGAAGGTAAACATAAAAAGAGCTACAATTGATTGTTTAATAAGAAGGGTACTGTAATGATTTTACAGCTGAGGAAACTGAGGTATCAACAGGCGAGGTTCCTTGCCTGAGGCCACACAGCTAGTAAATGATAGAGCCAGGATTTCAACCCAGGCCATGTGAAATCAAGGACTCGGAGGAATACAGGATGTAGGAAATGCAGTGATAGACAATGAGATCAGAACATTAGATTGGAGCCATTTTATAACATACACAGCTGTGTGATTTTCCTCTAAGGCAGGGTCAGGCTGGGGTCAAACCTACTTGCTTTCTCTTATAAGGTATGCATTTGTTTCTTCATGGTTCCATTGTCTCCTAGCGTCCCACTTTGCGTCATTTGCACACAATATACTTCATTTACAATATCAAAATAAATAGTAGAGGCTGGGCATGGTGGCTTATGCCTATAATCCCAGCATTTTGGGAGGCTGAGGCGGATGGATTATTTGAGGACAAGAGTTCAAGACCAGCCTGGCCAACATGGTGAAACCCTGTCTCAACTAAAATACAAAAATTAGCAGAGCGTGGTGGCAGGCGCCTGTAATCCCAGCTACTTGGGAGGGTGAGGCAGGAGAATCGCTTGAACCTGGGAAGTGGAGGTTGCAGTGAGCCAAGATTGCACCACTGCATTCCAGCCTGTTGCCCA